ATATGTTGCAATTATATAAATCAATTCCGTCTGAATAGACGCCTTTGATATTTATTCCACCTGTACCGTCACAATAGACGCTTCTGGCATTTATAGCCAACATACATTGAGAAAAAAGTCTTGTTTTGTAATAAAAATCAGTTATTGTTATCTAGTAATTGAATCTGTAGTGAAATATTTTTAAGGAAAATGATTTAGATTTGATTTTAAAATAAAATAAACTAAATGCTACTAAAACTTTCATAAATATTAATTACTTCTTAATTGCTGTCAAACAATTGGTTATTATTATTTTATTTGATAATATTTATTAAACATTGCACCGAAATTATAAATAAAAAATGATTGATAGCTAAAACAAGACTTTTATCTCAATATATTTCAATTATATAAATCAATTCCGTCTGAGTAGACGCCTTTGACATTTATTCTACCTGTACCGTCACAATAGACGCTTCTGGCATTTATAGCCAACATACATTGAGAAAAAAGTCTTGTATTGTAATAAAAATCAGTTATTGTTATCTAGTAATTGAATCTTTAGTGAAATATTTTTAAGGAAATTGATTTATATTTGATTTTAAAATAAAATAAACTAAATGCTACTAAAACTTTCATAAATATTAATTACTTAATAATTGCTGTCAAACACTTGGTTATTATTATTTTATTTGGTAGTATTTATTAAACATTGCACCAAAATTATAAATGAAAAATAATTAATAGCTAAAACGAGACTTTTTTCTCAATATATTGCAATTATATAAATCAGTTCCGTCTGAATAGACGCCTCTGATATTATTGTACCAGTACCGTCACAATAGACGCTTCTGGCAATAATAGCAAACTACTCTTTTACATGCATACGGTTGTATAAATTTGTATTGTTGAAATTAACATTTATGACAAACAAAAGATTGCATTCTTGTTTTTCAGACAAATTGTATTCATTTTACGATAAAAATATACTATTTGAAAATCTATATATAAGAAATGAGACATTGCATGTATTTTTAAAAATTGTGGGAAAATAATGAAAATATTCAAAAAAATGTATAATAGTTCAGGAAAATTAAATATGTTTTTACATCTGGGCGGCAAAATTGTAAATAAAGGTATATTAAAAAAAAACCCTTTGGAATGGCATATTACATTACATACTGAAAGTCTTGTCCACCCGCGTGTTTGCATAACTTTTAGACCTAAAATAACTGGCCAAAAGTGCGCTTTTAGCAAATATCTTTGAAAGTATTGAGTTTAGCAAAATAAAGGTCATTATCAAAAGGAAAGCTGGCAAAATTATGAACACTTTGGTTTTTTATTGAAGATCGTACGATCAATACTTTCCGAGATAGAATTTTTTTAAGGAAGTTG